CCCAAACCATTGCATTTTCCAAGTAATGGATGCTGTGAGATGAACTGTGCTCAGAAAGTGTCTTTTCTCAGGGTCACTGATGGAGTAAGGACATATACAAAATACAGGACTCTTGCACTCAGGGATGTACCTCACAGGGTCTTAGAGGAATAGTCTCCAGTCCATTAAAGGACATGTCCAGAGTTCTGCAACTTTTCTTCCCCTACTGAGAAATCCTCTGTTAGGAGGACTTTTAAGACAAATATCTCTCTGTCATGAATAAATGAGACAGCAATAAGGTCTGCACTAATTAGCACCCCCCATTCTAAAGCATACTGCTCTGCCTCCAGGATTGGAGCCAGTATCTGAACATACCAACTAACTGGCATTTAGCCAGGGAGGTCACTAACACACAGGCAGGTGGACTAGAAGCTAGAGATTCTGGCACGGCAAAAAGCTGTAAAAATAGGTGAGCTGTAAGGGCTTCAATGGACATTACTCAATGCCTAGTGTGTCACCCCTCCTTATTCACCATGCAGTCCTTTAATCCCTCTCCTCCCTTGACTTTGACAGAAAGGAAACCTCAGGCTGAAGTTGTCCATTTGAGCACAGCTGCTGAGAAGCGAGGAGCCACCTGAGGCCACTCATTCACTCCTTTCTCCTCTCAGAAACGGGAAGGAGAAAATAAAGCAAAAGGCTCAGAAATGAAGACAAGAACAGGGAGGGATGACTCATGTCTTATGGTCACAGGCAAAAGACACAGTCGTTAGTGGAAGAACAACATCACTTTAATTCAAAGTACAACCACAACAACACTTAATTTATCAGAGTGAGACAGTGAAAAGTATAACATTTTTAAAAATACCTCCCTCCCCACTCCTTCTCCTTTCTTCCTCTGACCTCGATGTTTGCATAGGTGCCTCCCTCACAACTTCTCCTCACATCTCCAACTCCTCCTCCCAGGTTCTCCTTAAATATGTTATCGCAGAGGTACAGCCACTGTCACTAATTGGCTTATTATCCAAGAGTTGCCATTAATTTCCAGACAATCTGGACTTAAATTCTATACATAAAATATGTGTGGCTGGCTGATAAATCTTAATATATAACAAGCCTTTTTCTCCAGACAAGGAGTCTCTCATGACTGCTGGGAAGTAGGATGGTTCAAAAGTGACTGCCCAAGCGCCTCTTCATCAGGAGCTCATTTGTTAAAGGTCTTCTTGTAGTAAGGTATCAGCTGGGTAGGAGTCAAGTTGTGGCACTGATCCAATGAGAAACAGAGTCAACAATCAAGACTCGTGGAGATAGTACTGTCAGAAATGGTGTAAGTAATTTTTTTAAAAAGTCTATTTTCCCAGGCAAATTTAAATGTTCTAAATACCTGAAAAATAAAAGTGAAATTGTCTGGTGAAAAGTGGAAATAGCCTGATCCCAGTAAAAGTCATTGTATAGGAATTCTTCCTACAGTCACGGTCACTGGAGGTTGATACAACCAGATAAAAAAGTACACCTCCCAGGGCTGCTGTGGACATGCAACACCTGTAATACGTGGCTTCCCCCTGCTTCACAGCAAGGCCAGGGGACATTTAGAGGAAGAAGCCCTAGTAGGCATTCCTAGATAGCCACCCATTTTGAATAGCTACCATTATCTATGGCCTGCTTGTGTGTCAGATCATGATTACAGTTGAATTGGTTTCTTTCTTTTTCAGAAGATGATCAAATTTCTGACCCTTTTGTTCTTCCTGGCAGCAAGGATCCTGGTTTTCCTGTGCTTGCCATCACTCTTCTCCCAGATAACAGAGGGCTGGTCCTACAGCAAAGGACTTACTTTGTATTTATCACCTGGTACACCATTGGCTTTGGAGATTATGTAGTAGGTAAGGTTGTTTTCAGAGAGGAGACCCAGCAAAGAGCCAGGGTTTTACCATGTAATTACCATGGGTTGACTGCAAAGGTTGCCAACGTACTGCAGAGACAAATCTGACTCTTTGACTAGTCTTTGCCTTGTACAGTCCTTGTACGGGCAAAAGGAGTGAAACCCACAGCAGCCACAAAGACAATTTTTTCAGTGTTTCCCTTCACACTATCACAGCCATGGTGATGATTTCATGTGAGCCAAGATACTTCCTGGCAGCTGTGCCTGGACACAGACCAAGCAAGAGGCACCGCTGATGTGCCTCCCTCCCTGTGCTCACTGTGGGGTGGGTGGAGAATCTGCCCATCCCAGACACTTCCCAGGGAGTTGGTACCACCGAACGGAACATGCTGGACATGGAGAAGACGGTGCTCTATGGGCGGTGGGAGCCGAGAAGCCTCCAAGTGCACCCTCTCACTGCCCTTGGGAAATGTCTCTTTGGAAGCAGCTGTTGTTTAACAACAGGGAGGAGGTAATTCGAGTGGTGGCAGCCTGGGCTACATGGCTCCAGCCCTGGTGGGATTCACGGTCTCAAAGGCCAGAGGCCAGGGGAGAAGCAAGGCCAAGATGGTGAATTTTAGAAGAGCAGTCTTGAGCTGTGTAAGGAATTAGTGGGTGGGACGCTCTGGGAGATGGCCCTTGGGTGGCTTCGCTTCCCGTCCAGGCTCCTGGCCCTGCCCCTGCCCTCACCTGCTGCCCAGGCTCCTGTCGGGGCTCTCCGCTCCCTCTCCCTGTCCCTACCCAAGGGCTACAGTCAGGCAGTACAGAACATGTACGGTTCTTCCACGATGAGCAAAGCTACCAGAACCTTCCTTGCCTAATGTGCATCTTTGGAAAATGAAGTTAAAATTGAGGTGAAATCACAGAATCACAGAACCGTCTAGGTTGGAAAGGACCTTGAAGATCATCCAGTCCAACCGTTAACCTACCACTGACAGTTCCCAACTACACCAAATCCCTCAGTGCTATGCCGACCCGACTCTTAAACACCTCCAGGGACGGGGACTCCACCACTGCCCTGGGCAGCCCATTCCAGCACCTAACAACCCATTCTGTAAAGAAATACTTCCTAATATCCAGTCTAAACCTTCCCTGGTGCAACTTGAGGCCATTCCCTCTTGTCCTATCACTTGTTACTTGGTTAAAGAGGCTCATCCCCAGCTCTCTGCACCCTCCTGTCAGGGAGCTGTAGAGGGCGATGAGGTCTCCCCTCAGCCTCCTCTTCTCCAGACTAAACCCCCCCAGTTCCCTCAGCCGCTCCCCGTACGACCTGTGCTCCAGACCCTGCACCAGCTCCGTTGCCCTTCTCTGGACACGCTCGAGTCATTCAATGGCCTTTTTGTAGTGAGGGGCCCAAAACTGAACACAGGAATCGAGGTGCGGCCTCACCAGTGCCGAGTACAGGGGTCAGATCCCTTCCCTGTCCCTGCATCTTTCACCCCAGTGGCTTTCACTATGGGCCTGACCTTTCTCCCTAGAAGTTTGTTTCACTGCAAAGTGGCCATAATAACACAGTCTTTACCACGCACCTTTGCTGGTTCAAACAGTTAAAGCCCATGATGGCTTTGATATATGAAGTCAAGAAGTGAAACGTGTTCTTTGAGTAATACCTCTCAGTGAAATTCTTTCAACTGAATACATCCATTATAGTCTTGCTTAGTGCTTTGCAACCCTTCAGCTTCAAAGGGCAATCTCCGAGACAGAGCTAATGACAGTTTGCTGATCTCTCCTCTTGGACCTGTTGCTTGTTTCTTGGGGCTTGTTTCTGGCTGCTCTGGCTCTGGGGTGTTTCTGGGTCCAGGACGCCTTCACACAACAGCCTGGAGGATGGAGGCCAGCAGAAAATTTAAACACACCCTTAAGCACCCGAGTGCTCCCATTGAGCCAAGATTACATCTACATATATAATCCAGAAATGCAGAAGTGCCTTTCCTCCCACCAGTAAGGAGGGAACTTCTGCAGAGATTTGTGTTTGTACCAAATGCTTGTTTGTAATGGTGATAGTGTCTTGCTCTACCGTGGTTTTCTTTTGCTGGTTTGAAAGACTTTCCCTAAAAGCCCCCTTTTCAGCAAACTGCCTCATTTTGCAGGATGAAACCCGTTGTGGTGCACTGGAACAAATCCAGTGTAATGAAACACCTGGATGCAAATCCGGACTGTCAGATGAGATTCAAACTAATAATAAAAAAGGGATTTTAGATGAAGGGACTGCAATTTCAGGGGGAGTTGGAAAACCCAGGGGGGGGATTTTTTTGTTTTTTAAAAGTGGTCCTGGCATTCTCAAAACAAAAGAGAAAGGAAAACTACCATAAAAAGCCAAATTAATTTCAACATGAGATGACTAGAGGGTGCTGTGTCCATCATAACCACACTAAAACTGCACTCAGTGCTCCAGTCTTCAGCCTTGACAGTCCACCCAGGAGAGCTTATTTCATACACAAAATTTTCTGTATGTTGCTCCTGTCTGAAGGGAAGG